TCGGATAATGGCTCAGAGTTTTACCTCCCCAATATCTCAAACTTTATCTAAGGCTCTTAACATTCCCTGGCATTTTCATATCCCATACCATCCTCAGTCTTCAGGGAAGGTAGAATGAACTAACCGTTCCTTAAAAAATGTTCTTGTCAAGATGTCACAGGAGCTTCACCTTGACTGGGTAAAACTTTTGCTTCTGGCCCTTCTTAGGCTTAGGGCTCCCCCCAAACCCCCTTCCATCTTGCCCTTTGAACTCATATATGGGCAGCCGGTTTTAACCCCCAGCCTCTCACCTAAAACCTCTCCCCTTCCTGATCACCTGCTTACTCCGCTGTTATCCCATCTTCACTTCCTATTATGGGACTTTACTGACTACTCATTACCACAACCATGTGCCAATCCATACCCACCACTGATTAAAACAGGGGATCAGGTTCTATTCTCTCCCCCAGACCAACGCCCCTCACCCCTTTCCCCTAAATGGCAGGGCCCTTTTAAAGTAATTCTTGGAACTCCCACAGCTGCCAAGCTCGAGAGACTGTCTTATTGGATCCACCTGTCTCACCTTAAACCTTTTACTCTTCCAGCTCAAGATACCCTCTTGAGGGGGCTGGAGAGATGGCTCAGAGGTTAAGAGCATTGCCTGTTCTTCCTAAAGGTCCTGAGTTCAATTCCCAGCAACCACATGGTGGCTCACAACCATCTGTAATGGGGTCTGGTGCCCTCTTCTGGCGTGCAGGCATACACACAGACAGAATATTGTATACATAATAAATAAATAAATATTTTTTAAAAAAAAAGATACCCCCTTGAATACAGTAACTCAAACAGGGCCCTGCTCCCTAAAGTTCCAGAGGACACCAAGATCAGCCATTCTTTCTCCAATTCCAGAAAAATAAAAGTTTCATCACTGTACTCAACCCTCCTGTGCCAAAATCTCCATATACTCCCCCTCTTCCTCTTTCTCCTGTCTGCTTTACCAACTTCTCTACACCTCCAATGTCATACTTAAATTTCCAGTTAACCACTCAGCTGTTACTGCAGGGACCATCATTAAACATAGAGCCGGAGGTACAAGGATTGCCAAAAGTCCAGGTGGTAAGAAACAATTGGGGACATTCACAGCCCCAGACTCCAAAAACTCAAACAGACTTTAACGTAACAGATTTATCACTGACTGCAGCAGTGTCCTCTGGATGTTAGGTAAAACCATGATGCTAAAGAGAACAAGCGCCATAAGATTTACTCCAGGTAAAACACTGAGGGGTCTAATAATTCCCCTTTCTAAAAATTCCCCCTTCTTTTCCTCCCTCCTCCCCACCATCCAACACTATACCATCATAATCATAAGCTTTTTAATATGTCTAAAATTTATTTCTTTTCAAACATTTTTTTCATAAGCTCCAGGGAGCCAATTGGACCTATCTACATGGACCAGACTCACCCAGAATAAGTATCATTTAATTCTTCCCTTGTCATTCCTGGTCTCGGGAACCCCTGGGAAATTCCCTCCTCCATCCCCCCCCCCAAAACCCTCTATCTTCCATCTTGGGACTCTCCTCCCTTAACCACCAGGATCTAAAATTTTTTCCAGACATAATTTTCTGCCTTTCCAGTATCTTGCGAGGGCCAGGCTGCCAGCCAGCCAGTTCACAGAGCCTGGAAAAAAAAAAAAAAAAAACACACACACACACACAAAAGTAATCAGCTACCTCGGGACATGGTCAAGCATCTCAACTCTCCGACGCCCACAAAATCAGCAAAAAGCAGTCACGAGAGACCTTCCCACTCATTAAAGACCCCAAACTTCTCAAATTTTTGCCCCATTTCCACCCATTAAAGACCCCCAAAAGCCCCAAATTTCATAATAAACAAAAGGGTGGAACGTTATGATTCAGCCACAATATGCCCGACACTTCTGGGTTCCAGGGCCACACGTGTGTGGACAAGCCCTCAGCATGACCCATGCACAGCATGTATGCTGCAGCTACATGAGCCCTGGGATGCATGAGCTCTGTCATCTGCGTATGACGTAATCACATCATCCCCCGTGTGCACGCGCTAGGTGGCCCTTAAAAGCTGAACGCGCCATCCTCAGCGCTCTCTCTCTCTCTCTGCACACTGACCTCGCCAGGCCTGTACACCCCCCTCTAATAAACTCCTAAGTGGGTTTGCTGCGTGTTCTGTGTTTCCTTCTCATTCGCACCAGGCAATTTAAAAGACTATGAAATTTTGGAATCTTATTGTAACAGTATCACAGAGAGAGAGAGAGAGAGAGAGAGAGAGAGAGAGAGAGAGAGAGAGATCTGGAAGACGGTTCATTCTTTTGAGAGGCTCGAATCACTTTCTCTTCAGTACTTAAGCATTTTCACCCTCAGACCTTTGTGACTTGCGTTTACACACCTTAAGTCACTTTCTTAGACCCTGAAACAATTTTAGATCCTCACATCTTAAGCTTCCATATCCTCACATAAGCTTTACACCTTGAGCCTCTTTCTTCCCCTCTAAGTCACCGGGAGACACAGGTGGCTGACCCCTGAGAGCAGTCACTGCAAGGCACCTTCCTTTAAATGAGGGGATGCTCCTGTGTTAAACCTCCAGCCCCCTAAGGTGTTTCTTCCCATAATCCCCCAGAAAAGTCCACAAAGGTTCAAAAACACAATGAAAACAATAGTAAAGAAAGCTATGCAGACTGTGCCTGTGTGGAGGAAAGGAGGCCCAGGCTCCTGGGGACAGATGTTGAGTTGACTCTTGAAGTGTTAGTCCCCACAGGCAGTTAGGTAATGACCCCATTGTAAAAGTCAGCAAGATGCATGTGGAGCAAGACCACAGATCTCAGATATTTTATTTTTTTATTGATTTTTTAAGACAGTCTCATACAGCCTAGGCTGTCCTGGAAGTCACCGTAACCTCAGGCACGATCCTCTTGCCCTTACCTCCCAGGTGGGATTACAGATACAAGCCACTCAATTTGTGCCGTGCTGCAGCGCCAGGCAAGCAGACTCTGCCCCAGGTTTCTGATTGGGAGCTGACCGCTGTCACCAGCCACTGAATCACTTTTTCAACAATTGCAAAAACAATTTCTGTTGTTCCCAGCATAACTTTGAGTCAATAAAATTAATTACCTCACCTAGGAAATTAGCCCCGTGTTTTGCATGCAAAGGTCAATGTTCACCCAGAGAAAGGTACTCAAACATAGCTTGTCCCGGCATAAACATTTATCACGTGGGAGACAGGAACTCATTGTCCACGGTTTGTTTGCTTTATCAGGCATTTACCTGGGGCAGAGTCTGCAGTCCACTTCCTGTCCCAGTTTCTCTTGCCCAACACCTTGGGCAATTGTTTATTTGACAGAGTGTTCTGTCCCTGTCCCCTCTTCTGGGAAGAGGCAAGGGATGCTATACAAATAAAATCACCTGGTGCCTACACACCGATTTCTGCAGAGAGAAAGCGAGGTGTTTGCTAGAAATTGTTATGAAAGAGAAAGTTGCCGTAGTCACCGGAACTTAGCTGTGCTCAACTGTCAGCTTGTGGGGGTCAGATGTTGTCCCTGAGGCTTCCTAACGCTCCTCAGGCCTGTGACAGTGAAACGGAGACCATTGTAATGGTGACCACAGAGTCTGTGGTAAAAACAGGCAGTCTCCTGTTGCCTTACTCGCTTTTATTATGAAGTGTGGATCTTAGAGGAACCCTGGCCAGGCTACCTCTAACTGCCTCCTTTTGATTTGTGCCACGCTCAGCTTTTAGTTCACAAAGTCACACACCTGCTAGTTCAGTCACATGCTAACTAGTTCACAAAGTCACACACTAACTAGTTCACAGCCACACACCAGCTAGTTCAGTCATATGCTAACTAGTTCACAAAGTCACAACTAACTAGTTCACAAAGTCACAACTAACTAGTTCACAGTCATACACAAGCTAGTTCAGTCACATGCTAACTAGTTCACAGCCAGATACCAACACAAGCAGTTGTTATGTAAGAAAGCCTGGCTCAGCATTTCCCACCTCTAAGAAGCGGTCCTAGGGATGGATGTTTGAACCTTGGGCGCAGACATCTCAGGTTAGGCCAAGCCAGATGACAGACAGAGGACTTCCATCAAGAAAGCTTTCAAGAATGGCTCGCATGGGGCTGGAGAGATGGCTCAGTGGTTAAGGGCACTGACTGCTCTTCCAGAGGTCCTGAGTTCAATTCCCAGCAACCACATGGTGGCTCACAACCATCTGTAATGAGATCTGGCGCCCTCCTCTGGCGTGTGGGCATACACGGAGGCAGAATGTTGTATACATAATAAATAAATAAATCTTTAAAAAAAAAAAAAAAAAAAAAGAATGGCTCGCATGTCCTCCAGAGTCATCACAGACCTCGTGTGGATTTACCTGAATCTATTTTTATTAATTTGAGACAGGATCTCATGTATTTCCATCTACTCGATACGTAGCAGGCAATGACCCTGAACTCACTGGGAATCTACGTTGACTTGCTCATTCTACAGTCTTCTCCCATATCACCAACTCCGAAAGTTGGCTTTCACCAACCGCTCAATGTCACACCATAACACCAACTTGGTTTGTTGAAGATTTAATTTGCATTGAGTTTTTCACTGAACTTGACCAATTGTTTCCGCTTCTGCTTTTTAATTGCCTGCTATCCTTGCCTGGCTTTTTCTGTGGACGCTTCTCTGTCACTTAGGTAGTGGGTATTGAGGGCATCCACACCTCTTTGATGTATAGAACCACCAACCCTCCATTGGTCCTGGGCACCATCAGGTTTGAAGTGTGTCCTTCCAAACCTTGTGTGAAAATCTTTCCAATTCGTTTTCCAGATTTAGTAAGCAAATTTATACCAATGTTATCCTGTGATCTCCACAGGCAAGACAAGTTTGTCCCCGAGGGTTCTAAGCACTCATCCATTCTTGGACCAAGTAATGCTGGATAAATCTTTACCTAATGAAAGAGGACTCCCTAGAGACATTATTCCCGCTCCCCACAACATGGCCCTGTTTCCAGCCACAACAAAGGAAATATCTGTCTTATACTTTATTCCCAACACCAGCCTTCATCCTTGTGAAGCTCATATTACATTTTTAAGTGTGTGTGTGTGTGCACGCACGTGTGTAAGAGTATACATGTGTGCTACAGTAGAGAAGCATTTGCAGGAGTCAGTTCTCTCCTCCCACCACGTGGATCCCGGGCATCAAATTTTACCCCATGAACCGTCTCACCGGCCCTGGATTGCTTTAAGGATTCTAGGAGATTTCCTTGATATACTATATTAAGACTGCATAGCCTAGAATACCATCACTGAGGAAGCTGAGGCAGGAGGATTATGAACTCAAGACCAGCCTGGGCTAGACAGTGAGATCCTGTCTCAAAAAAACGGTGGGCTTGGAATTTAACTTAATGGTTTGGCACTCATCTAGCAAGTTTCAGACCCTGATTCTCATCCCAAGCACAGCCACCACACACACACACACACACAGAGGGAGGGTCATGTACACACAGACTCCCAAGAATATGGCATCCTCCACTGTATACAAAAACAGAGAAACAGCTATGGCTCTGCTTCCAGTCCTTGTGTGTTAGGAGTCTTTGGAGATCACAAACTATTGATCAAATGACCTCACTGGAACGCTCGCCTCCACCCCCCTGGGAACCAATAGAACTGAGCTTAGCCTCCGGTTAGAATCCGTGTCACTTTGTCCATCTCAGAATGAGTTTAGGGAGTAACACAAACCTTACACAAGTGGAGAATACGCAGTCGCCACTTCCTGCAGCTTGCACTAGAGAGTTCCAGGAGGCTAACTTCCCAATCCTTCCCTGGATCCAAATTCAAGCTAACGAGCTCCACCTGCGCTCACTCATTCGGCATTTGCGGCATTTACAGCATTTACGGCATTTACAGTACACTGGCTCCATGGGCTCTTTCCTAAGGTGCCAGCAGCAGAGATTTATTTCATTCCTCTTTAGAAAGTGGGTTCATCTGGAATGGAACCCCCCCGTAGTCACCAATGCCTCAGTATGGGTCCATTCATAGGATGGCACAAAGCCACCAAGGCCACCAAACCCAGAAGGGCTGGGGTCAGAATTCCTACCCAGGCCATCTGCTTCTTTACCGCGGCGCCTTATAGGGAGGGCGCATGCTCATGCGCAATGCAAACATCCCACCCTGGCCCATCGTGCCTGAGATGACTCTCCTGGGATTCAGTTAGAAATGAAAGACTTGAGCCCCATTCCAATGGTGCCAGTCAACCGCCAGGCTGGTAGGTGAGTCACTTCTCTCCCATGGGCCTGCTTTTCTCATCTAGAAAATGAGGATTTAAGCCAGTGTTGACAAGGTTCCTTCAGGCTCTCACAAGCCAGGCTGGAAGTTTCCATGGAACCACGGCAGTCCTGCCCATACAAGCTCGCTTGGGTTCTGCGCTGGTCCCTTGGCAGCAAGTCCTATTTCCACCTGCCCATCTTTTCCTTGGATCATGTGACATGGTGGCTGTGGAAACATGGAGTATGACGGTCTACATGGAAGAAGGATGCAGTCTTGTTATTTCCAGTCATCTAGTTTTCCTGTCACCAATACTGACGCTGAGGAAACCCTCAGCTTCTCTCCCTCCTGTCACCAACAGTGCACTCCTGGCTGAAGGGGTGGAGAGCCGCTTGTTGGTTCCCGGCCGCCCGGCTAGCTTAGCCCCGAAATAATCACACAGAAACTATATTAATTAAATCACTGCTTGGCCCATTAGCTCTAGCTTCTTATTGGCTAACTCTTATATTAATTTAACCCATTCCTATTAACCTGTGTACCGCCACGTGGCAGGGGTTTACCAGGTAAAGTTCCCAGCATCTGTCTCTGGTGGCTCCATCTCTTCTCTCTGACTCCGCCCTTTTTTCTCCCGGCATTCCTTTTAGTTTTCCCCACCTAGCTCTGTTCCCCTATAGCTCTGCTAGAGACTCAAAGCAGTTCCTTTATTAACCAATGACATTCACAGCATACAGAGGGGAATCCCATACGCTGATGTGTGAATTACCATGGCAACAACTGTCTGAGCTGATTTGCAGGAACTTAGAGGCAGCTTGAACACCTGAAACTCCCAGCCATTCATATCAGTCCGTGTAGGCCTGGGTACCGGTTGGATGTCCCAGAACTCAGACCTCCACTCTTGGGTGATGCTAATGCCGTTTTTCCTGAGCACGTGTTTGCTATAAAGACAATTGCTATGAACTCAGAGACTTCTGATTTAACCCGCAGCCAGCTTTCCCCATGTCAGACACCCCTGTTTCCTACCTCGTAATTATTCCTGAATCCAGGCCTGGCTACATGGTGCAGCAGGAGAAGGTACATGCCGTGAAACCTTGATGGCTTGAGTTCAATCCCCCCAATCCCAGCTGAAAATGGGAGGTGAGACTCGGCTCCACAGAGCTGTCCCCCGAGCAGCACAGAGACACCGCTGCACACACGCATGTGCACGTACGCATCACACGCTCACATCCATGTGATAAAGATTGATGAAATAAAGTTTCTTTCCTTCAATAATAGGGCTGGAGAGATGGCTTGACGGCACCAACATGGCAGCTCACAATCAGCCAACACTCCGGTTCCAGGGATCCATTGACTTCTGATCTTCACTGGCGTCAGACACACACGGCGCATGTGCATACTAATACACAAAAATAAATTGTAAAATCTGGGAAAAAGGGTATTCGTAACCCTTCTCAGGAATGCAGGCTGTGGATCTGGGACTCTGTTCCCATGCAGATGCTCATGAGTCGATTCTAACCTCGCCAAGCCCGATATTACAGTCCCAGCATTCCGGTCTCCCCAGCTCCTACAGGAATTACCTGTAAAGGGCCGCCTACAAAATTCTAAGTCTTCTCTAACACACATATCCCCAAATTTCCAAATTGTATCCACAGATCAGTCCCAAAGAACAAAGAAGCTATGTTCAGTGGTTTGGTCCCAGAACCACCCCACAGTGGTAGATACTTTGTGACATCAAGGGAGGAAGGGTTGTTTGGATTGTTCCGCTCTGATATGTCAGCAGAGGACATGGGAGAAGGAGGCTGCTCACACCACAGAGGGCGAGACAGGAACTAGACACCACAGCTCAACTACTGTATCACGCCGTCCCCACCATGATGGACCAAAACCATGAACCAAGAAAAATCTCTTACTTCTGTCTGGCCTCTTCTCACGACAATGCAAGAATAACGCGGCTGCAGAAGTCGACCTGGAAACCAAATAAACTCTTAGATGTTGATACGAATAAACTGACGAGTGGAAGTAATTTAGAAAGTGTAAAGCGGGCTTAGAGACGCAAATTTAATAAATATTGCCATGGAAATACCTCAGTGCTTTTCTTAGCTTCATAGGAAAGAAATGTCTTAGGTGCTGGCACAAGCTGATACAGAGGGGAATCCCACACGCTGATGTGTGAATTACCAAGGCAACAATGTCTGAGCTGATTTGCAGGAACTTAGAGGCAGTTTGAACATCTGAAACTCCCAGCCATTCATATCAGTCCATGTAGGCCTGGGTACCGGTTGGATGTCCCAGAACTCAGACCTCCACTCTTGGGTGATGCTGATACACTCAAGGTTTGGGGGTAGGAGGTTTTAGAGTCCAAGACCAAGTGGCCTATGAAAGATTTACTTTAAAAATAAAGAAATAGGAACTGGAGAGATGGCACAGGGTTAAGAGCACCGACTGCTCTTCCAGAGGACCTGAGTTCAATTCCAAGCAGCCATGGTGGCTCACAACCATCTAAAATGAGATCTGGTGCCCTCTTCTGGCATAAAGTCATACATGCAGATCAAACACACACACATATATAAAATAAACAAAAAATCTTTAAATAAATCAAAAGTTTTACCTATTAAAGCTGACATCAATACAATGAATTCTAAAGTGCCCGAATTTATAAAATTAAAATAAATAAATCTGCCAAATAGAAGAGAGAAAGAAGGTAGAACAAGAAGCTAAGAACAAGAGAATGGTATATAGAGCTGAAGAGATGGCTCAGGGTTAAGAGTGCCTGCTGCTCTTGTAGAGAGGGTTGGGTTCCCAGCACCCATACAATATCTCATAGCAAAGGGCACACCAGTGCCCTCATCTGTTCTCTGTGGGCACTGAGTGCATGAGGTATACGTACAATCATACAAACATATATACACACAAACTAAAATAGGAAAATTACCCATACAACTTGAAAATACTTATTTCAGGATTAAAATGATCTAATCAGAAATGTACTCTGTTATTTAGTACAAAATATGAATTATTTAAACATTTTTAAGTTATACTGATTTATTGAGTCCTAAAACTTGGTCAAACCAGGCTCTCAGAGGCTGTGTACTCAAGATGGAGCAAAGATTGACAAAATAGAGGTAGAACTTGGAGAGGCCTCGGCAGTTAAGTGTGTGGACTAGAAACGAAAGCTTGTCAATCTTGTAGAAGATTCTAATTTGGTTTTCAGCTCCCAATGTGGTGGCCCACAACTATCTGCAATTCCAGTCCCAGGGGATCTGACGCCCTCCTCTGGCCTCTTAGTGCACTGCATGCATGTGCTACACATATGTATGCAGGCAAAATACACATACACATAAAATAAAAATAATCTTTTTTTAAGAAAATAAAACAAAGCCATCTAAATATGACACCTCAATAAACATTGCCCATCTTAGTTGGTAATATATATGATGCATTTTCAGACTTCAAGAAGCCTAAAAGTGTCAGGCAGTAGTGGTGAAGACCTTTAATCCCAACATTCAGGAGGCAGAGGCAGGAGGATCTCTGTAAATTCAAGGCAAGGCTGGTCTACAGAGTGAATTCCAGAACAGTCAGGACTGTTACACAGAGAAACCCTGTCTCAAAAAATGAATAAACAAACAACAACAACAACAAAAAAGAAGAAGAAAGCAAGCAGGAAATATTAACCCTATTCAGCAGAAGTCAACCATACCCGCAGCGGTGGCGTGGCTCAATGAACACCAACAGTCCTATCCTATCAGCCCGCCTCTTGGCCAAAATCCCCGATTTTAACAGAAAATCTCTGGTTAAGAAAGGCTTCATGCTGGGCAGTGGTGGTGCACACTGTGAATCCTAGGACTCCCAAGACAGAAACAGGCGGATCTCTGTGAGTCTGAGGCCAGCCTGGTCTACTGAGTGAGTTCCAGGACAGCCAGAACCGTTACACAGAGAAACCCAATCTCAAAAAAACAAACCAAATCAAACAAAAACAAAAAGCTATGTTCCAGGCACTATCATAGCCAACAAGTCTGAGTTCAAAGCATGAAATCTCCTAATTGAGTTTTTTTCCCCTAGTTTTCGAGGCTCTGAGCAACCTCTTTCCTCTGTCCTCTCTTTTGACCATGTGAAGGTGGAACTTAGAACATCTGTCTCGGCAGCAAGCCCTTTACCACCTGAGCCATCTCACTGGTCCCATAACCTAAGAACTCTCTCTCTCTCTCTCTCTCTCTCTCTCTCTCTCTCTCTCTCTCTCTCTCGGGGGGGGTGGTGGTGGACAGTGTCTCACTCTGTGGCCCTGGCTGGCCTAGAACTCACGGAGACTCCTCCAACCTTCGTCTCCCTAGTACCGGGATTAAAGGCATGTGCTACCGCGCCCGATTTTATAGCCTCATTTTTAAGGAGAGGTCTTGGTGTTTAAAAATATCATCTGTCGCTGCTGCTGGAAAGATGGTACACACTTACGTGTGCTCCAAGCGTAATGGCATACACTTGCATGTACTCCTGAGCATAACGTTGCACACTTGCATGTACTCCCGAGTCCTTAGGTCCAGACACAGGAGCATCACCGCAAGATTGAGGCCCACCTGGGCTACACAATAAGTTCCAGGCCAGCCAGGGCTACATAGTGAGACACTGTCTCAAACAATAAACCCTAAACAAACAAAAACCCATCAGGGCCACTGAGAAGGCTCAGGAAGTAAAGGCACTTGCCCCCCCCCCCCAAACTTCACAACTTGAGTTCAATCCCTGGAACTCACAGGTTGAAGGAGAGACCCGACTGTGTCCCCAGCCCCGTTTCCACAGACTGAGTACAAACAGACACTCCCCTGTCTCCGCACCCACCTTCGTGTGCTCCAGCCCCCCTAGTGCTGCTGACATCCTGGAACAGTTTGGGATCGGTTGCTATGCAGGCTCTCCCTGCAGCCGCTCCATCTGCCAAGGGCTTTTCTTCCTTGGGGAAATGTTCCTCTGTGATTGCCCGGACTAATCAGATAGAAGACATTTGGCTGGCTTTCTATCCTGCCTAAACTAATTTTTTTTCCAACAAGTAAAAGAAGGCCCCAAATGAGAATTATGGTGTGCTGTCTTGCCAGGGGGAGGCTGGGTAGGCTTGCACTTCTGGTCAGAAAGACAGAGATGGTCCACTTTGTGCTTACAAAGTAGGTGGCGTGTCCCTCTCTTAAGAAATATTACCACTGCTAGCCATGGCTTAGCACTGACACAAATTCAATGTTCCTGTTTCCCCGCCAGGAACCATCTATCTCAGAAGCCAGAGTCCCTCAGCCTTTGAAAGGTGCACACATCCTACCAGCATGATCTCCAGAAAAAGACAGAAGCAGAAAATGCAGCCAACTTGCTGAGTTTCACCTTAACTTCTAAACACAATACCATCATCACCATCACCATCACCATCATCATCATCACCATCACCACCATCATCATCACCATCATCATCACCACCATCATCATCATCATCACCACCATCATCATCATCATCATCACCATCATCACTATCATCATCTTGAAAATTAACACCTTGTAACTCTCCCATCCCATAATCCCCCTGCCGCTAAGCCAGGATCTGGGCCTGATAGTTATCCTTTGGCCTGGGCATATGATGGCGGGAGACACTTACTGGCACTGGTGTTTCTCTGAAGCAGGGGAGTAGCTGGCAGTGGTGTGATGTTAGTATCAAGGTTTTCTGGGTGGAGCCTGAAGCAGGGCCCCTGTTCTCCTTCAACAACATTGTTCTGTGTGGTAAGGGCACACAGCATGTGGAAATGTCCAGGCATTCATTAAAACCTTGATCCTTTCTGGGAGGAGACAGCTCATTATATTCACAGACTAAGAATTAGACACTGAGCCAGCCGTGGTGGCGCACACCTTTAATCCCAGTGCTCGGGAGGCAGAGGCAGGGGGATCTCTCTGAGATCAGGGACAGCCTGATCTACATGGCAAGTTCCAGGCCAACCAGGGCTACTCAGTGAGGCCCTGTCTCAAAACAACAAAGAATTAGACATTGAAGGTTAGGAGCTAGACTAGCCAGTAAATTCTTTCTGTGTAAAATGAGGACCCAAGTTAGTCTAATTGATGAGTCCCAGCCCAACGAGAAATCCTGTGTCAAAAACCTAGGTGGACAGCATCTGAGGAAGGACAGTGAGGTCACCTTCTGCCCTCCTCCTGCATATGCACACACAGTTGCACACGCAGACAGACACCTGCAACGTTAAACAAGAGCTAGCATCCCCAAGGCCTACCCTCGAAACCCAGACAGCATGTTCAGGGTGGAGAGACGCTCCTCTGGCCAGTCCCTTCTGCACTCTGAGGAAACCAATGTCCTAGAGAAGTGGGGCAGAAATAAATCTGGCCCCACGCTGCGCCCCATTGGTTAAGGCTCCCATGGGGGGTGCTCTTTCACCGGGTCCAGTGGGAAGGCGCTGAGCAGAGCTGCGTGAGCGAGACTCCTGCGCTCCATGGAGACAGGACCCATAAAAGTGTCTTCTCCCATTTTCAAGGTAAGCAAATGGCATTGCCACCAGGAAACAGAAACGCCGAGAACCTGGAAAAACTACCCAGACAGTAATTCTTTTCAGCTTCCAGCTTCATTATGTCCATTCACCAAAGTCAGTGGACAAAAAAGAAAAAAGAAACCACAATCCCAGCTTCTCAAAGGCCTGTGAGCATAGAGGGGACATATTTTACAGCAGCGGATGTTTTTCCTGTATTTCTCCTTGCACAGGTGGATCAGGTAATTTGGGCCTTGAACCCTGTGTTGCCAGGGCTGCTGCTCTAAAATCCACTGATGACGGAGGAGGGGGCGTGAGCGTGGTACTAGCGTTTTCCCAAAGTGAAGCCCCTCAGGGGGTGGCTGTGCTAATTCCCTTCACTTTGTGCCTGTGTGGGAAACGTCACAGTGCGTGTGTACAGTTGCGTATGTCAGTTAAAACATTTCCCCAGGCGTGGGTCAGTGAGATGGTTCCACAGGTTAACACACTCGCCCCCAAGCTTGGGGTCCTAAGTTCAACA